CCCCAAAACCCCAAAACCCCAAAACCCCAAAACCCCGCAGTAGCAGTTTCTTATTGAACTGATTACTCAAAATGTCAGAAGAATCCTTCAATATCAGGCACCTCTGTCATATTCTTCTTCAAGAATTTTCTTGCCTTCTTGGCGATCATGACCCATTCTTGCTTGCCCTTCTTGAATTTCTTCTCTAGCAAAACTAAGGCGAGGATCGTTATCCAGATCTTCTGTATATCATCAGCGTCTTTGGCAAGGGCTTCTACCTCTGAAGGGACTTCAGAAAGAGAAGGAGATGAATAGGCATCTGGAAGTTTGGTGAAATAGCCCTCTGGCTCCTGGTACTGGATTACTATTTCATAGCTTTTCAGACTAGGTGATGGTTTTGAGTCGCTTTTTGGAACAGTAGCTGGTGGTGCTCAAAGCTTCACTTCTTCCTCACTGTCGTCATCTTCATCTTCTAAACAAGCATCAAGCTCTTCACCTAAAGCATCATCCAACTCTTCGACCTTATCACGTGCTCTTCTCGTTCTCTGTTCATCTTTATGAACCTTACTTTCTTTCTTACTTTTTTTAAGCATCTTAGCTGGTTTGCCTTTTCATCTCTTGGCTGCTCCTTTGGCACATGCCATCATAGGCATAGCCATTAATCACATGTCTGGAGGACCTCTTTTCATTCCTTTTCTTATCATATTGGAAGGAATCTTATTGACCATTCTGGTTATCGGAATCTCAATAGTTTTCATTTCCTCTCCAGATTTGTCCTTGTTCTTAATCTTACCAAAGAAAGCTGTCTTCTTTGACAGCACCGAGTACTTCAAGGAGTTATATAGGATGATCTCTTCAACGCTCTTATCTCCAATTGAGTCATCTAGAGCTAAGGCTCAGGGCTTACCTTGGGAGGTCAGATCGTGAATAATTAGTCTTTCTAAGTGGTTCATGTTCTCTTTCGCAGCTAGTTTGAACACGAAGTCGTTCACACCATCATCGATGATGGTGGAAGGATCTAATCTCAGGGTGAAAATTGACATGTCCTGGTCAAATGTGTTGTAAAATGAGATATTTACATCTCCCTCCATTAGTTCTGACTTTGAGAACACAGCATAGCAGTCAAGGATTTCTATATTTTGTGTCAGAGCTGGAAGGGAGATGTTTACAAAATGAGCAGTAAGAGATCTGCTTGAAAGATGCTCAGAAAATGGGTTAAAGAACAGATAATGAATATTTCTTAGAATGCAAGTGAATAGGCCATATCCTTACCTTCTTCATAGATAAATCCGAAAACTGGAGCTCTTGGAGTTTGGAAATTGAGAGCAGCATTATTCTCTCCCCAGTCGACTTTGATGTCTGTAAGCGCTGGCTTAGAAGCTTGGTTCAAAGCTTGAATAACTTTTCCTTTGATCTTGGAATCTTGATCTGCAATAAGCTGGCAAGTTCCTAATCCTACTTTAGAAAGCTCTTTCACTAGGTATTTAGAAGCCCCATTTCCAATTCCAAATGAGTGGACTCTTGCAGAATGATTATTTTCCTTAACAATCTTCATGACAGGATCTGTATCCCTGATGGCTCCATCAGTGAGAACAAAGATATTTCTTGGATATTTGAGATCAACAGGAGTTCTGAAGACAAACTCCAAAGGATCGATCAAAGCAGTTCCACCAAGATCAGACCCCATCAACTCTATCTTTAGGAGCGCCTCGTTGACCGAGTCTTTGGAGTATTTTATACTTCCTTTCTTATGCATGATATCCAACTTGGTTCCGAATCCAATGATATTAAATATACTATCATCTGGCAAACTTTTGATGAAAAGCTTCAGAGCATCTTTAGCAAGAGTAAGTCTATCATGGGCCCTCATAGATCCACTTCTATCAAGAATAAAAATAAACTCGCCACTGGCAATATCAGGATCATCAGTGTTCTCTATTTTAGTTACAACTGCAGGCTCTTTAGCTTCCTCCTTTTTCTCCTCTTCATCATCTTCAGAGAGGTTTGGCTCATCCGAGATCCTAGGAATGCAGGTGATGTGGGCAACCACTTCATCAGGATGCTTATCAGACTGGTGAAGTGTAATCTGAGGCTTTCTGATCTCTTCAGTAGAATATGACACTACTATATCACGTGCCTGAGTAGCTCCGCTTTCAGGTAACTTCAAAGACACCTTCTTCCCTGAAGGATCTTTCTCAATTGTGATTGAAGAGTGGCTAACTCATAAATTTTCGATTTCCGAAGAGGCTTCAAGGTCGATATCTGCAGAGAACTTTCCTTGTATATATTTCCCTCCAGTCTTTGGTGCTTTAGCAGAGGAAGAGCTGGCATATCTTGGAATAAAATTCAGAGGAAAGATGAAGGAATAAAATCCAAGCATAGTAATATCTCACTTGCACACCATTTCTACTGTAACCTTCAAGCTCTTCTTTGCTTGGAGTTGGCCAATGGCAAGCTCCAGTATTTCAGGGATGTTTTCATCATAATTGATCTTAGCGGCTGTATTTCCAGAGGCAACGACATCGTCGTATTTCTCTTTGGCTTCCTCTTTCTCTAGGATAACTGCTTCGATCTCTTTATCGTCAAGCTTGAGGTGAACCCCGGTGACACTGAAGTAAGAGTCAATAGGGAACTTGTACACTATCTCAAGAGGCGAAGTCTCTTTGTTCGTGTAAATTTGGGAATACAGAATCTTCACCGAAGAGTTGTGTATCTTTGCATCCAGATGAGAACTCTTTAATGGAATTTGCTGATCAGGAATATTCGTGTTGTACAGTCCTCCAACGTTGTTGATGTACCAGTGTGGCCTTCTAAGAATCCTACATTTGTACTTGGGCTTGGCGCCTAGAGTGATCTTCACTGGGGCTGAAGGAAGAGGAATATCTTCAGTTTCGATTGACATTTTTAGAAGTAAATAAAATTGAGATTTTAAGGGGTTTTGGGGTTTTGGGGTTTTGGGGTTTTGGGG